ATTTCTATTCATTTGTCTCCCAGGTCTGTCACTGCTGGTGTCCGCCCCTCTTCGCTGGCCATGCAGCATTTCTATTCATTTGTCTCCCAGGTGATCTCTTTACTTCCCCAAACAGGTTACTCTTAGGGGTTCTCAATGCTTTCTAAGGGTGTCCGCCTTGCTGCAGGACAGCGTGTCCGCCTCCCCCTGTCTCTCTTCTTGTTGGTCATTGTGTCCGCCTTGTCTCCCTCCTGTCTCCCTTTGTCGCCGGTCTTGTCTCCCTTCTTGTTGGTCACTGTGTCCGCCTTGTCTCCCTTCTGTCTCCTTTTGTCTCCCTTCTTGTCTCCCTTCTTGTTGGTCACTGTGTCCGCCTTGTCTCCCTTCTGTTTCCTTTTGTCTCCCTTCTTGTGTCTCTTCTTGTTGGTCATTGTGTCCGCCTTGTCTCCCTTCTGTCTCCCTTTGTCTCAGGTCTTGTCTCCCTTCTTGTTGATCACTGTGTCCGCCTTGTCTCCCTTCTGTTTTTCTTTTCTCTGTTCTGTCTCCTTTTGTCTCCCTTCTTGTTCGTCACTGTCTCCGTCTTGTCTCCCTTCTGTCTCCCTTCTTGTCGCCCTTCTTTTTGGTCATTGTGCCGTCCTTGTTTCCCTTCTGTCTCCCTTTGTCTCCGGTCTTGTCTCCCTTCTTGTGGGTCACTGTGTCTACCTTCTTGTCTCTGTTCTTGCTGTCGGAGGCAGACACTGAGCTGGGGCATGTAAAGGATTCTTGTTGGTCATTGTGTCCGCCTTGTCTCCCTTGTGTCTCCACTTGTCTCCGGTCTTGTCTCCTTCTTGTTGGTCACTGTGTCCGCCTTGTCTCCCTTCTGTCTCGTTTTGTCTCCCTTCTTGTTGCGCGGTGCCAACCTCTGCCTTGCAATCCTTTCCATTTGTCCCCCAGCTCTGGACTGCTGTGTTGCAGTCCTTTACATGTCTCCCAATCCTTTACATTTGTCTTCCAGCTGGTTGCTGTGTCTCCGAGGTGCTGTGTCCGCCTCTGCCTTGCAATCCTTAAATTTACGTTGTCTCCTAGCTCTGACTGCTGTGTCCGCCTCTGCCTTGCAATCCCTTACATTTGTCTCCCTTCTTGTTTCCTTGCAATCCTGCACGTTTGTCTCCCAGCTCTAGACTGCTGTATCCACCTCTGCCTTGCATTAAAGTAATCTTTACATTTGTCTCCCTGTGTGTAGATTTGTCTCCCAGCTCTGGACTGCTGTGGCTGCCTCTGCCTTGCAATCCTTTGTCTCCCATCTCTGGACGTCGCAAGCTCTAGTTGCAGAGTGTTCCGATTTTGAAAAGCACAAACTGTTTGGGGTCTACGGTGGTGTAATTGATTCCAGGAAGACAAGACCTGTGACCTATCTAGATCAGTCATTCTCAGTCTTGTGAGAAGCCCGTTCTACCTTCCTTGAAAGCAGGGTTCCCCCAAAATGTCCATACCAGCCGAACATGACAGTCGACCTATTGAACGCAACCTGGTGAGTGTGATTGGGTGTTGGGTACAGCGGGTACAGTGTCTCTTTGCAACTGTCTTGAAGGTAGCCTCTCGGCCACTACCTTCCCAAAAGGCACGGAAAGCAACAAGAAACTGGAAGAACCTGGAGGGCTGAGTAGTATTGTGGTATCTTGTCCTTGTGGAACTTGATTCTCTGACTATTTGTGTCATTTGCAGTGCCCTTGTTGCGCTTGACCTTGTTAACGGCATATCCCTTAGGATGTGCCCAATCCAAGTCTTCCTTTCGCTTCGGTTTTCAGAAAGATCTCTGGCCCTCCCTGAGAGGTGCACACAAATGGCCGGCCAAGGTGCCCAAACTTCTGCAGAGAATGTGTCTGTATGTGGCAGATTTCTTTGGGCTCTGAATCTCTGAATGGTTCTTTCGTGGTTTTCGGCGTCCTCGAAGCAATGTGCAGGAGCCGCGAGCAATGTGAGCAGCACTACGAGGCACCGGGGTCGAATTGGCTGAGAAACGGGAACACCAATTCCTTGCGCCTGAAGCGCTTCAGGCGGGTGAACGACTTGAGGATCGAAGTCTGAAGGGTCTATTGTTGCAGCCGCAACTTCTATTCGCAAAGCTTTGATGTTAAGATGTAAATTGTGGATCAAGTTGATCACACACTGCACTATTGAGGTAGAAGTCAATACAGTTTGGCTCTTGATTTGATAGGTACAAGGGACATGCATTTTGCCTCAGGGATATCCCAGGACAGGGCAACTCTTTGGCGGGCCTCACAAATGGTCTTATGGACCCCTCAGGCCGTGTTTGAGGAACGTTTTGACACTTTTATTTCGGTGCCGCAAAGGATGGAGATGCAATGACCCCGGGACTCGGAAGCGAAAGGGATTCACCAAGCCGCCGTGCACAGGCATGGTGCCGTCGCTACGATGAGCGCCATCCACGGCCCCCGCGCAAGACCAATGAAGCTGAAATCCCTCAGCCGCAGGGCCTTGCGATCACTGTGCCACAGGTACCGCGCTATGTGCCTGTAACATTTGGCAGCGCAGAGTCTTTGGGAAGCCTTAGCTGAAGGATCCAGCCTGAGCTCAAACCATCTAGTCGTCGCAGCTGAAGCCCTTAGCCTTGGACTGCAAAGGGGTTAATTGGATGTCTTCGCCGAGGCTTAAGCTGGTTTCAGGGAGACTTGTAACAAGCTGGACACCCAAAGACGCGTACAACTTCAAGACACGGTCCGCACTTGTGTTTCGGAACTGGGTCACAAGTCTGTGAAAGGCGCGGTCCTTCACAGGATAGCTCTTCCCTAATTCAAACTGCAAGTGCAGAATGCATGTACAGAAATCTTAATTTGATGCCGACGCCAAGCACGGTATGTTTTGAAAGAGTGACTGCAGCTGGAGAACATGTACTGACGATTGCCGTGGGAGCAAGATTATCAGTTCAAGACCTCCTGGCCAGTTCCGAGCACATAAAGCGTAGTTTCCAGCAACAGCAGGGTGGTAGGTTTCTCGCGATCCAGTTCTCCGTCAAGGCTAATTCGGATCTTTGAAGACAACCAGTGTTTGACTTGTGAAGAAGGGTTCGAACATTTGAGCAATTTGAAACACAATAGAATCATATGGAATTCATGACTTGCAACCTCGATCGGATCTTCTGCCAGGCGTGTCACCGGCTTTGTGGGGCTCGACCCAGGCAAAGCGCCACTTGGCTTGAGGCATTTCCAAGAGACCGGGCCCAGATCTAGGTCTGGATAATTTTTTGTCCTGTTTCAACATGTTTCAACATTGCAATCTGGCAAACAAAGGCAATAGGCTAACAGGAGAACAATCCAAGTCTAAGTTGGTTGTTCCGAAGCCGGTGCACCTATGATGAAATTAAAATTTATGCCAGGAATTGGCATGCCCTGGAGATTTCATCCAAATAAATTCGCTTACCGCTGTTATGACACAACACTGATTGCAGTCAAAGTTGCACATGAGTCACATGAGTGTGCCACATTGTTTGCAAGGCGACGGCTGATTATGTGATTTGTACGTTTCAAGATGCGTCAAAAAAATCAAACCGCGAGGTCCATCCATTTTTCCCCGGCTGCAAGGTCCAAGCAACATTGACAACGAATACAAGGGGAAGGCAAGACGGATTCTCTATGGCAATGCCTTGGGAGAATTGTTGACGAGTTTTCAGCGCGTAGCCAGAGGGAAGGGAGCTTGAAGCATGACTTCTAGACAGAGAGTATTCATCGGGCATAATGTATCAACATTATCAACACTTGTTCTTGATATGCAACGCTCAATCCACTGCATCCTCGCTAATAGGAGCAAGGATGCTACTAGGGGCTCCTGGCCTTACTACTAGGAGCAAGAAGCTACTAGGGCTCCTGGCATCGCTAATAGGAGCAAGGATGCTATTACTTCCAACATGCAGGATGACAAACTTGTCTATGAGCATGCGGTGATGCCGTCGACCGATCAAGATGGGGAGGAGCGGCCAGAATACTCATATCCGCAACGCATGTCTTATATAAGGCAAAGCAAGACTTAAGGACCATATCGGAACTGATTTCATGAAGGAGCCAATGCTCTGCAGTATTTTTGACGCTGGAACATCGAAATATCACCTCTCTCCATATTTTGTTGTCTTTCTTGGCTATGGGAGGGCATTGTAAGCGGGGCTAACCAAATCGTGATGCCTGAAGGACATTCAAATAGATGCAGCGTCCCTGTGTACAGGTATGTTGTATACATGATCCAGCATTGGGATGCATTTTGTGAAACGACTAGTGTAACTACTAATGTACTGAAGGATACAGAGAGCCACGCAGGCACCAAGAGCTTCACCACAGACGTGATTTTTGTCGTTCTCCTGTCCACTATGCCTGGATTTCAGGTGTTTCTATTTGAGAACATCAATCTACATTCTAGGCAGTAGAGTGCGAGTAGCGCGTAATTAGCGATGCATATTTGCATGTTCATTAAGCCATTCTCGCACGCAGTTGGTTCTGATAAGGAGACGCCCTTTATTTCAATTTTTTGAAGGCAAGCAATCATTTGGAACATTGGTCAAGTGGTCAAGCATTGCGCCAGTTTTTTTCAAGACGTGATCTCTTTCAGCTCTTAAAAGCTGAAGGGATTGCCCTACCCAAATTGCATGGGCAGCCATTTGCCTCCGCGCACATTCAGTTGGTCTGGTTGTGTGCAGGATCGTGCAGAAGCCAACACTCGGGTGACAGTGCCCAGTTTCCGTCAGTTGGCCCAGAGATGGAGATGTTGCCAGACCTCTGGAAACATGATTCAGCTAAATTGCTGGGGTATTCAGCTTGCTACCAGGTTCCGGCATGTTCTATCAGTTCAGTTAGAGCAGCAATAGCTTTGTTGCGTGTCTCACTACCGGGTTCCCGGTATGGCTCAGCTGCCACTTAGCCCGGGTTGTGATTGCGCCGGTCGACGAGTGAGTCGATCCATGGCGCTTCGCCCAGTGCCGATTGATCTGGACCTGGCACGGCAATTGCAGGCCTCTTTGGAGAGAGAAAGGATAAGACTTTTGAGAAAGGATATAGGACTTTCTCAGACTTGCTCTGTGAAAAAAGGTAAATTGTCATGGTCTGCCAGATACGGGCAGTTTTGCAGTGGTTAGTGCAAAAGCAAGAAAGAGAGAGAGAGAGAGACCTTGCTGAGTGAAGACTCAGAACAGGTTCTTAGTGGCTCGTGGAATGATGCATAGTACCTGAATATGGAACAAAATGCATGCCAGTTTCCCGAGCCGGGCTATGCGCAATACTCCAGATTGCAAGGCCAGAGGGCACGGTCGCCAATTCAAATCTCACTCTCCAACGTCTTGAAATCTGGAGAGCTCATTGTTTTGTTCAACTACATTCGGTGTTGGGTGTTCCAATGCACGCTCCATGTCAAGTTGCATCCACAGCTGCGAACAATGCTCATCTACGCAAGACTTGTAACGTGTTTGGAGTTTTGTTCTAGTCCCATCTGGAAGCGGGCAGCCATCATCAATTTTGCAGAACAGGCTCCTATGTTTGGCCGGAGAACATATGGCCAGAGACACCAAGTCTGGCCACCGGCTTAGAGGGACAAGTCTGGTGGAATTTGTCGAGTACCAGCCAGTCCGACATCCAACGATGTCCAACTGTTTCAATCCACCATGGGCTGCTGAGTTGTTGGGGTTGGCACTACGCAGGAAAAAGAACAGCCACATTATGTAATGCCTTGGTATGTTTGATTGGCATCACTTGAGCGTGCTCAGGATGCTCAATGGAGTGTCACACCGGAGTCAGGCGCATCTCTTCAAGGCTGGAGAGTGTCAATCCAAGCTTGCATTAGAAGTATGCAGGGTATCGAGTATTGATGCACTCTCTTTGACCATGCCATGATATCGTTCAGCGACGGAATGTGTGACTCAGGTGCACCATCTTTTGAAGGGGTCGTTTAGAAACCCTTGGCCAGTACGTCCAGACCTGTTGCAGACACGCTTGAGTCAGAATCTGCAGGATTCGGGTCAGACGAAATGGGAGCAGATACGAGGACAGAATGGCTTTCAGGCATTCTTGCTGTTGGCCTTGCCCTTCAAGCTATGTCAGCCCAGTAGCTTAATGTTTGTCATTTTGCTTATTGGTAGGGCTGCAGCACAATGCAAGGGTTGATTGAGTGATACACACCCGCATCACATGAATCTAGGGCGGACGAACATATGCATAAATTGTATGTACAATGGATTTTTGCTTCTTGGATGGTCGATGCCCTGCCACGAGTACTGTTGAGTTGCAACATGCAGTCGTTGGTCCCCAGGACCACGTTGGTCCTCAAGAATCTGCCCAGACACTTTGACAAGGATGCCCTGAAGGATTTGTTGGAGAAGCTAGGCACCATGAGATAGAAATAGGGAGAGGGAGAGAGAGAGGGAGAAGGAGAGGGAGAGAGAGAGAGAGAGGGAAAAGTGAGAGGGAGAGGGAGAGGGAGAGAGAGAGAGAGAGAGGGAGGGAGCTGGGAGTGTAGTCATAAGTTGTGACATTGCCTGCAGGCTGAGTCAGTTGAGAAGAAGCTTGGTGCTGTAGAGTTGAGGTGGCTACTAGTAGCTCCTAGCCTTACTACTACGAACAAGAAGCTACTAGGGCATCGCTACTAGGAGCAAGGACGCTAAAACTTGAGGTACCTAGGAGCAAGAAGCTACTAGGAGCAAGGGTATCGCTACGAGTAACAAAGAGCATTACTACTAGAAGCATTCTTACTACTAGGAACAAGAAGCTACTAGGAACAAGTGCATCGCTTCTAGTAACAAGTGCCTTAATAGTAGTAACAAGAAGCTACTAGTAGCAAGGCACCTTACTACTAGGAACAAGAAGCAACCTGGCTGTTTTGAATAAGTTTTTCAAAGCACTTTCTAGAATGAGTTGGGACCCCACAGGACGAAGGCAGTCAGCCATCTTCTGCCGGGTTGGTGCCAGGCTTTCGGGGCTTCTTTGACTTTCTATATGTACCTCTGCAGTGGAACCAGGCCAGGTGGAGAGAGAGAGAGAGAGTGTGGGTGAATTGTCAAGCTCGAACCGTTGAGAGATGCTTTTGACACTTGAGCTCGTGCAAAACCATGGCATCCACTTCATCAATAGCACAGAATGAGTACGTATGTCGGCACAAAGGGAAACGAACTGAGAGTGTTCTCATCCGAAACACAACTGGCCGAACTGCTGCCGTAAAAGATCCTGGTTGGACAGCCTTCAGGAGAGCTGTGTTGGCTATGGCTTGGTGAACCTTACCAGCCATGAGGCATTGGTTGGACAGGGTGCGATCACTGGGTTGGAGTTTCGAGTGACCCGGCCAGATAGGACGAGATATGATGAACTTCTGCCGTAGGACCGCATGACCTTTGACAACAAGCAATCCAAATTAGTCCTCGGCACAGCATTTGACTCAAACCGATTCATCGAAAACTTTTCAGACCCGAATCCACTGCCACTGCCCTGGTCTTGGGCCATCTATATGAGCTGCGGTCAAAACATGCGAAGACCACTTTAGTATAGAGGGGTAGTTTGTGCACAAAACCTGCAACACGATAAGGCCCACCTCAAAACCGATAACCCCAGCTCTGTATATGATCATAAGTTCATAAGTATGCGGCAACTCAAAACACAATAAAACGATAAGGTCCAATTCAAAACCGATGACGTCCACTGTTTAGTTGAAGAAGAATAAGGAGGCTTGGCCGTCCCTCATACATATAAATATCACCGAAAGCCAGCCGGTAGGCTAGGCTTGAGCTTTTAGAGCGAAGGAAGTGAGTTCAGGGGGTGTGGGGCGGGGGGTGGTCGTTGAGGGCCGACGCCTCGTTTTGGAACCTGGATTCGTCTCGTTTTGGAACCTAGATTCGTCTCGTTTTGGAACCTAGGAAGTGGTTTCTGGGAAGTGGTTTCTGGGAAGTGGTTTCTGGGGAGTGGTTTCTGGGGGCTGGTCTGGTTTCTGGGAAGTGGTTTCTGGGAAGTGGTGTGGTTTCTGGGAAGTGGTTTCTGGGAAGTGGTTTCTGGGAAGTGGTTTCTGGGAAGTGGTTTCTGGGGAGTGGTTTCTGGGGAGTGGTTTCTGGGGTCTGGTTTCTGGGGTCTGGTTTCTGGGAAGTAGTGGTTTCTGGGAAGTGGTTTCTGGGAAGTGGTTTCCGGGAAGTGGTTTCCGGGAAGTGGTTTCCG